GGGGGGGGGGGGGGGGGTGTTCTGAGTGTTTCCTCTCTGCATGAGTCTGACCCTTTACATGTGACTTCACTTTGGAAAAACAGTTTTCACATTTTGGCAGCATAAGAAAAGGGAGCAGACTTCTGGGTGAGGGGACATGTAGTGTTTCTCCTGCTGTCAGAATTAGTCCAGGTTTCATCCCAGCTGCTGTTTGTATTTCTGAATGACTCACGTGCTGTGTCTTCATCTCTGCTGCAAATCTGCTCTTTCCTTTTAATGTCAGCTCTTTTTTCATGTTCCCCTGCAGCTCCCTCAGGCTATTCCATGGGAAAAGAAACTTTTCCTGAGGCCCTGGGAGAAATCCAACTATTTTAGGAAAACACGTCACTGCTTTGAGCTGCAGCCCAGAAACTCTCCCTGATCCCCCCCCCACACACACACACACACAAACATGCACCCCTCCTCTGGACTTGTTGCACACGCAGTGTTTACCTTCCATGCTGTCACTGCTCTCTCATTATAATAATAATAATTATTGTTGCTGTTGTTGTTATTGTTTCCTGTTTATTGTTGTTTCATGCACACACATCACAGACTCGCAGGTCGTGCACAACTTGTGGATGGGGGAGCTGCTGTGGAAACGTCAGCGCGGGTTTGTGTGGAGCGGCTGCAGCGTGACATTGCAGAGCCTGTCTGTGTCTGCCCGTTCACGCCACCTGACAGGAGTGAGAGGGCGGGAGGAGGACGCATCACGGATCCACAGGTATTCGTTCGACTGCAAATTCTGAATGAAAAAGCGGATTTTTTTGCCTGAAATTTGAGCATTTTGCATGAAAAGTCTCGCGCTCTTTGTCTCCAAACGTCTTCGCTGTGACTGCATGCGTGCTGTTTCAAACGTGACATCACGTCAAGGAATACACGGCAGCCCCTGTGATAACCTTGAGCCCGCGCCGCGCAGGACACAACAGGTTCGTTACGCACGCAAACTCTCTCAGAATCCCGCATCTCTGCGGTGTTCCCGGAGATCTGTGCCCCTCTCGCATTCAGCATGTGCGCGTGTTTGTTTCCCCCTCCGTGACGGAGCGTGCACACACACACGTCAGCTCGGGGAGGGCAAAGTCTGCTTAAAATGCTGCGAGTGTGACGGCTGAATCCAGAGCACAGCGCCGCGCGGACGGACAGGTGAGCGCGGGGGGCGCAGAAGGACACGCGGAGGCTCGGCGGAGGATCAGAGAGCCCCGAGGAGCGCGCGGGGATCATGACGGTGGTGCCCGCGGAGAACCTGGACGAGACCGTAGCGCTGGCCGCTCTGTCGGCACAGGACGCGTGCGAGCCGGAGCGCGCGGACAGCCAGGACTGCTGCGAACGCGTGGTCATCAACATCTCCGGGCTGCGCTTCGAGACGCAGCTGAAGACGCTCGCGCAGTTTCCCGCCACGCTGCTGGGAGACCCGCGGAAGAGGATGCGCTTCTTCGACCCGCTGAGGAACGAGTACTTCTTCGACCGGAACCGGCCCAGCTTCGACGCCATCCTCTACTACTACCAGTCCGGGGGCCGGCTCCGGAGACCCGTCAACGTGCCGGTGGACATCTTCATGGAGGAGATCAAGTTCTACGAGCTTGGAGAGGAGGTGATCGAGAATTTTAAGGATGACGAGGGCTTCATTAAGGAGGAGGAGCGCCCGCTGCCCGAGAACGAGTTTCAGCGGCAGGTCTGGCTCCTGTTCGAGTACCCAGAGAGCTCCGGACCCGCCAGGGGCATCGCCATCGTCTCGGTCCTGGTCATTCTCATCTCCATCGTGATCTTCTGCATGGAGACGTTACCGGAGTTCCGCGAGGAGGCCAGGACGTTTGACGAGCACCTGGCAGCGAACGGAACAGTGCGCGCAAAGAAACCGAACCCTTTCACGGACCCGTTCTTCATCGTAGAGACGCTTTGCATCATCTGGTTTTCATTCGAGCTGCTGGTTAGGTTCCTCGCATGCCCCAGCAAGGCCGCCTTCTTCAAGAACATCATGAACACCATCGACATCGTGGCCATCATGCCCTACTTCATCACGCTGGGACTGGAGCTCGCGGAGCACCAAGGGAACGGCCAGCAGGCCATGTCTCTGGCCATCCTCAGGGTCATCCGCCTGGTACGGGTCTTCCGCATCTTCAAACTGTCCAGACACTCCAAAGGACTGCAGATTCTCGGGAAGACGCTGCAGGCCAGCATGCGTGAGCTCGGACTGCTTATCTTCTTCCTCTTCATCGGAGTCATCCTCTTCTCCAGCGCTGTGTACTTCGCGGAGACCGACGACCCGCACTCGGGCTTCAGCAGCATCCCGGACGCGTTCTGGTGGGCTGTGGTCTCCATGACGACGGTGGGCTACGGGGACATGTGCCCGGTCACCATTGGGGGGAAGATCGTGGGCTCTTTGTGCGCTATCGCCGGCGTGCTGACCATCGCGCTGCCGGTCCCCGTCATCGTGTCCAACTTCAACTACTTCTACCACCGGGAGACGGAGCATGAGGAGCAGTTCCAGTACACGCACGTGACCTGCGGACAGCAACAGCCGGCTTTCGGAGAATTCAGGAAGAGCGACAGCAGGTCGAGCCTGTCCAAGTCCGAGTTTCTGGGCAGCGAGGACGCGGACTCCATTAAATACACCAACTGCAGCCCGCACAAAGCCCACAGCGGCAAACTCACCGACGTCTGAGCCGCAGCATCACGCGCCCTGCTGTGACTGCACACCGGAGAGCTCCTTTTTTCTGCCATCCAAGACTCACGGAGAGGACCCACGTTTACCCCCGAAACCGTCTTCCATCACGCGCGCCACGAGCGGACAAACAGAAGCTTAGAAGTGATGAAAGAGCCAGCGGCAGCACTTTATCCAGACATTTGATTATTAACGTTTATGTAGTGGAGCTGGTGACACACACACACACACACACACACACACACACACACACACACACACACACACACACACACACACACACACACACACCTGTTAAAGCTCGGGGTGGATCAGATGATGCTTGTTGGAAAAAGCCGTTAATCTAAATTTAAAGTCCGTCCCTGACACCCTGTTTGATCAGAATGTTCGTTATTACTAAAACAAACAACAACAAACAGAAACAAACAATCAGGCTTCTGTGGGGAAAACTCCGAGCACGTGCTCCTTGTTATTGCCACGCAGACTGTGTGAGCGTTATGAAATCAACCTCAGTTTCTCCAATCCAACAGCACCGCTGTGTGGACGAGCCGAGGCCCTGCGTGTCTCTCTGTGGATGCAGTTTCTATAGCAACCTTCCAGACTTTTCTATATTGTCTGCCACAGGATGAAAACACGCGGGCTGAGACCGCATAGGCCACAAAACCACCATGTTGTGGAAAAGCC